GAAGACCCAGTCCAAGACATCTGATGTCATAGCTGTATTAAAAGAGACCTGCAAAGAACTGGAAGCTAGGAAAAAGACCCTAGAAAACCTAATTGCCAGGTTAGAAAAGGAGGAAGCTGAAGGAAACAGAAGGGAAGAGGGTGTAGAAGCTGAAGGTCATCTCAATACTGAAGAAACTAGCTCCTCTGAGTCTGATGACAGTGCTTAAAGGTTGGTGGAGTTGCTGTTTGGTGGAGTTGCTGCTGGTCTCTGGTGGAGTTTGGAAGTGTGTTCAGTTTTTAGTTGCTGCTCTTATTACTTTTTCTGGATGACTGTATAATTTTTATGAACATGTATCTTTGGCCCATTTGTGGCTAAAGAGGGGGAGATATATTGTGATACCTTATTTGACATTCCATTTTTCTGCAGTCATTTTTATTCTGCTGCTATCTATCTCTGATTGCTTAGGGGCTTTAGCCAAAAATCTGCCAAAGGGGGAGTTTATAGTTGTTTAGGTATTGGCATGCATTTTTGGCAAAACCAGGTGTGTGAATGTCATGACTGATGTCATAACATTCTAGTTTAGTATGTACTGATTCATTAGGTACCTTTGCAGAAAAATATTGTCATACAGGTACTGATGTTTATAAGTGTGTATCTGAGCATTTTGCAAAATGATCACATTTACCTAAATCAGTAGACAGGTTTTCAGATGTCATAACAGATGTTAAGACATCCTGTTTTGAACTAACAGGTATGCAGTTTGGTTAATTCTGAGTTTTTTCAGGAAAATGACTCAGTCTTTCCAGAACAGAATCCTGCGTTTTCTTTTGGTTAACCTAGCTCAACCCCAACCTGGTTGATAAAGTCCTGTGACCTAGTCTTAAGGTCAAACTGAATTAACCCTAGATTTTTGTGGAAACCCTAACTGAAGTTGCAGCTGCTATATATTCAATAGGGCTGCTGTTTTGAATGCAATCCCTTTTTTGACAGAAGATCATTTAGAAGCTGTATAGTTTTAACTATTGTAATCCAAGCAATTATCATTGTGATAAGTGACTTGGAATAGGTTTTTAATTGTAAGGGTTGTGTAGCACTCAAAGCTTTGAAGCAAGAGTGTTTGTATGTCTCTTGACTAAAGCTGTGAAGCAGAGTCAAGTTAGGTGTGTGTATCACTCAAAGCTGTGAAGCAAGAGTGTTTGTGTTGCTTGATTAAAAAGCTGTGAAGCTTAATCAAGTGTATGTTTTTGAAGAGTGTCTTCATCAATTCATTAGTCAAATTGTTTTATGTATCACTGTTGTGATTGAGGGGGAGTGAGTAGGAACTCGGGTTTAAGTTGTACTTAAATTGAAGTTGCATTGGGTAGGTCTTAAGTGAAGGAGATAAACTGGTTGGTTTATTCCTGAATTAACATCTCTTATAGTGGATTTCCTCCCTGGCTTGGTAGCCCCCAGAGTAGGTGTTGTTGCACACTGAACTGGGTAAACAATTGACTGTGTTCTTTACTATTTTTGTATTTACTGTCTTATAGAAAGTAAGATACGGTGTCACAACATTGAACGTGACATTGAGTATCTGCAGCCAGAATTTCATGGACTAAGTCTCAAACATTTCAATATAACGTAACTTCTTATTCCGAAAGTTTACAGGAATAAGTTTACAGGTATAATCTTCACTCTAAACTTGTGGTATGATTACCAACCTTCAACACATGCTTCTCATATCTTCCATCATATGCTTTGATCATCATCTAACGAGTAAACATCTTCAGGGAAGTTTCTATTCATAATCTAATTTTGTTGTATATGAGTATTCAACTCAGGGGGAGACTCTGATAATATCTTTTACAATGAACTTATATTACAAAATTATTCATCAAAATATGTAAGTTTTGTCATCATCAAAAAGGGGGAGATTGTTAGAACATAGTTCGGTTCTAGATCTAATTCATAGTTTTGATGATAAAAAATACATAATTATTGTGAAGAACAATTATACACTCTAATCATTTGATTGAATGTACAAAGAAGTTCTGATGAAAGCTAAGAAGATAATGACGTGAATAATCATATATGAAGCTCTAAAGAGAACGTGCACGTAAGAATCTCAGAAGCGAACCCAAATGTGACACGCCAATAAAAGAAGTTATGATGCTAAAGTCAAACTTCTGAAGCACCAAGCTGCCAGTTATACTCTGATAAGAGAGTTCTGAAAGAACAAAGAAGTTTCAACGTATTCATAAAATTGAAGTTCTAAGACCAAGCACTCAAAGTTCTAAATACTCTGAAGGTCTGTAGATCCAACATCACATTAATGTCAATTAATACAGGATCAAGAAAGTAACAGCTGAAACATTATGACTGGGAACAACATCTGTATTTTTGGAAAGAATATTAAACCTCAAATCTTCAACCTTCCAAAATAAAGCATATATGTCTCCAACGGATCTTTGAACCTTTTCTATATAAAGGGGACTATAAAGGTGTATCAAAATAACTCTCACGTATACGAACAAAGAGCGTTCTAAACATTCTCATATCTCTTAAGTTATTCTTTGTGCTATAATTTGTGTAAACATCACAGTTGTGATATACCTTGTTAGAAGCATTTGTAAACACATTGTATAATTTTTTAAGATTGTACTTCCTTGAGAAACCGATTTGTGGTTTGATCTCAAGAAGACGTTGACGGTTGTCTTCGTGATTTATAATCATCATTGATTAGTGGATTAAGACCTCGATTGAGAGATGTGAAATCACCTTGGCGAGTGGACTGAAGTAGCTTTTAGTTCAAGCGAACCAGGATAACCAACATGTTATATTGTTTTATTTTTTGAAAACCCCAATTCAAACCCCCTTTCTTGTGTTTTTCTATCCTTTGCCATCATCCTACTACCATAACCGACTTTTAAAGGTTCAATATTTTCACAAGAAGTCTTTCTCCTGGAGGATTGTGAAGGATGAATGCTAGCCTATCACCTTTTTTGAGTCTTTTGTTCTTAGCGAACTCATACCTATCATGCCCGATATACATTTCTACATTGTACTTTCTTTCAGCAATATGGAGTTCACAGTCATACCTTTCTCCATTATCAGAGTCAACCAAATAAATGCGCCTATGTTCGGATGCCAAACACTTCCTTATAACTTTCCGGGGGATTTGCTACACATCAGCAAAAAGGACATATAAATTAGTAGTAGATGTCAAACATGTATTGGCTTATACCATTAAATGCAAAATTTGAACTAACAAATACATTTTTATGGGTTATCTTCCCGAATTCTATCTTCCTCTTTTTTACAAAGTACCTTGGGCGCCTACCCATATCTTCATCCTTTGATTCTTCATCAGAACTGCATTAACAACTTCACCATTATATTTTTGTTTTAAACATATCCATGATTCAATATAAACCTTAACATGCCAAATAATTTTCTTAACAGCTGAAATTATACTAAGTTTTTAAATAATATAATATAATCATATACCTTACACTATCCGACAAGATAATGTTGTGAGACGACCCATCACCTGATATCCCTTTGCGTTTCTTTACATCCCTTGGTTTCTTCTGTGATTCACCGTCTTTTGATACATGCATGTTACCTTTAAGTGTTACGTATTTCCTAACCAGTAGGGCTTAGTGTGAAACAACCGTTTTCCCCTTAACATCCCTGACCCCTTCGTTTTTCGCACCATTAACACCTGATGAGCCACCATGTTTTTCAACAGTTGTTCCACCATCAACGGCACACGACCCACCAACTTTTTCCATCCTCATACATTTACAAGCACTTACTCGCTCTAAACTATCGATTTCCCTGCATAAAAGAAAACATGAAAAAAAATACAAAGATAATTATGGAGATGAGATGATATCATATAAATGCAAACATAGTATACGCAGAGAAAGGAAAAACCTTCCAACTGGTGTATGAGGACTGTCACTTGACATTTTAGGATTTCAGGAATGAAGAAGATGACATTGATATTGTGTGTTTCGAAATTTTTTCCGGTAAAGACAATGAATGTAATGAACGACTTCTGTGTCAATTACCCTTTCCTCTTCAAGCCTTTATGATCATATGCATGTGCGTTTCATATTCCTGGGTGTAAAAATTCAACAATGAGCTCTTTTAATATAATAATCAGTTAAGATATAATTAAGATTTTTTTTTTGTAATTTCAACATGAAATTTCTATATTTCTTTCTTAAGATTACACATCATTTTTTTCCACATGTTTTGTCTCTTTTTAATTTTTTTTATTAATCATAATTAATTATTGTTACTACATTTATGTATAGTTTAACAATTATTTTCCTAATTAACAATATATTTTAATTTTATAAATATTTTTTTGTACTATAAATATTAAACATTATTAATATTTGAGCTTCTTTTTTTAGAGATTAATAATATAAAAGGTTTTTACACATGCATCAAATGAAATCACATTATAGTATCACTTTTATATATTTGTTCCTAAAATATATTTTCAAATGTCTATATTCCATGATTTGATTTGATATATGTGCAAAATAGTTTCATTGTCGATGCATTAGTATTATTCTTCAATTGTTTAAATAAGATATTATATTTGTATTGTTAGTCACACAATATTTTCTATTTATTCACAAGTTATTCGGTACTATCGATTTTATTTAACTTTATAATATTTATTTATCAGAGCCGATCCTATGCAGGTGCAACAAGACCTATTGCTAAGGCCCCAAATCTTAAGGGACTCTTAATTTTTAGTTGGGACCGTTGCTATCATTTAATGTGTGGAAATTAAACTGATTTAAAAGAGAAAGATTTAAGTTAACTTACCTTCTATTCAAACCAAAATATACAAATAAATTCGGTCATTGTTCATGAGAAACAAGTTTTACAGCATAGCATAGGATCTCAAATTTTGGAAAGCACTACACAGTGAAATGGAGTTTCAAGTCAGCGCATAAGACACTACTATTACTAACTCTGCCTTTGTGCCTTGTCTACATGTACCTATCATTTGCATGTACCCATTTTTCAAACAAACTCAGTCTCTTCACTCCTCACTTTCTCATTGTTCTACTCTCCTACACCACTCTTTATCTCATAAATCCTCTAACTTTCTCAAAACAGTCCATGCCCACTTCCTCAAATTGGGTCTTAACACATATACATATCTGGGTAATCGTTGTATCGATCTTTATACCGAATATGGCCACATTAATGATGCCTTGAAGGTGTTTGAGGATATTTCTTATAAGAATTCCACTTCCTGGAACATTTGCTTGAAAGGGTTGTTCAAAAGTGGCCAGATCGGCAAGGCCCGCCACATGTTTGATGAAATGCCTGTTAGAGATGTTGTTAGTTGGAACACTATGATTTCGGGCTATGCTTCTTGTGGGTTTTCTAGTCATGCCTTGGAGCTTTTTGTTGAAATGCAAAGTGTTGGTGTGAGACCGAGTGTGTTCACTTTCTCAATTTTGACGTCGGTGGTGTTGAGTCCTTGTCATGCTAAGGAGGTTCATGGTAGGATGATTAGAAGTTGGATGGATTTGTCTAATGTGGTGATTGGAAATTCGTTGATAACTATGTATGCGAAGTTTGGTCTCGTTGATTATTCTTTTGGCGTGGTTTTTAGTATGAAGCAGCTTGATGTTATATCTTGGAACTCTTTGATATGGGCCTGTCATAGAGCTGGACGCCAAGAGCTTGCTTTAGAGCAGTTCTGTTGCCTGAGAGCTGCTGAGTTGTTGCCTGATCAGTTTACATGTTCGTCGTTGATGAGTGTCTGTTCCAGCTTGCGAGATTTGGAAAAGGGTAAGCAAGTTTTTGCCTTTTGTTTCAAGGTGGGATTTGTTTATAATAGCATTGTGTCAGGTGCTGCTATTGACCTCTTTTCCAAATGCAACAGATTGGACGACGCTGTGCGGTGCTTTAAAGAACAAGAACAATGGGATTCGGCTCTATGCAATTCCATGATTTCATGTTATGCTAGATATGGTTTGGGGGAAGATGCTCTTCAGCTCTTTGTGCTGACCTTGAGGAAGAATATCAGACCAACGGAATATACTGTTAGCTGTCTTCTGAGTTCTGTTTCTGTTTTCTTGCCAGTAGAACTGGGTAATCAAATACATGCTTTGGTTCCTAAGTTGGGGTTCCAGTCAGATACAGTTGTTGCCAATTCACTTGTTGATATGTATGCTAAATTTGGATTTATTGACGATGCCTTGAATATCTTCAACGAAATGAAAGCAAAAGATTTGGTATCATGGAACACTATAATGATGGGACTGTCTTACAATGGTAGAGTGTCTGTGACCATGGATCTCTTCAAGGAAATGATAAGAGAAGGAATGCGACCCGATCAAATAACATTTAAGGCAGTTCTACTAGCATGCAACTATGGGAGTTTGGTTAATGAAGGAACTAAGATATTTTCTCTAATGGAAATGGAATTTGGAGTAAAACCAGAGGAAGAACATTATTCATATGTTGTAGAGATTGTATGTAGAGCTGGTAAAGTCAAAGAAGCCATTGACATTGTGGAAAAAATGTCGTGTGGAACCACCCCTGACATTTGGAGGTCAATTATTTCTGCGTGTGCAAGATATGGAGACTTGCAAGCTACTGAAATAGTTGCAACAAAAATAATGGAGAGGTCACCACAGACATCCTTACCATACTTGGTGTTGGCTCAGGTATATCAGATGAGTGGTCGTTGGGAGAGCACGGTTCGAGTGAGGAAGGCTATGCAACATAGAGGTAGTAAAGAGCTCATTGGATACAGTTGGGTGGGAATAAAAAACCATGTATATACTTTTGGATCAAACCAATTACAGCATTATGGCGGCAAAGATATTTATCTGCTACTAAATTTACTGGTTTGGGAAATGGAGACTGATTGTAATTCTAAAAATTGTATGCAGTTGGAGGGGAATACGGATATTTGAATTGAAGTGGGTTACAATTTGTAAACTTTGATTCTGAATTCTGGGGATCGTAATTGGAGTTACTACAGGCTTGGACTATTAATGCTAGGAACGGGTTGAAATTTATAATGACGCAGATAAAAAATAAAGATACATAAATTTTTTTATTAGCAAACATTAGTACATAACTTGTTTTAGGGAAATGAGGAAACGTTAGTAGCAGATATCATACTCTGAACCTCCTTCATAATGGTTCTTCGATGCCCCAACTCGAACAATTGGACTAATCATTTGGGGACATCAATTTTTTTACATTAGAAGCACTTCATTGACAGATTAGATGTATTTGTACTGTGAAATTGCTAATTACAATTATACTCATTTTAGTTTAATTGTGTCTTACTGTGGTATTGTATTTTGATTAATAGGTTATATAACATTGGCGCATTTTAAGCATAGTCATTCCCTACACATGGTTGAATTTGTTTTGTTCGATAAAGCACATAATTCTTATTTGTTGTTACTTCTATAAGTTATATGTTTTTATATCATCCATAAGGATTAAATGATGATAGATGGATACAAAGTAATGAAGATTTATCTTATTTTCTGTTCAGCATTTCTATCTTAAGGTAATTTCTGTTATTTTCTGTTCAGCATTTATATCTTAAGGTAATTTATCTTTGTGCTCACAAGCTTCTTTTTTCTCAATACTCTAAACTATTTAAACAATCAACAAATATATAATAACATATTTTAGCATCTTCTTTTATTTTATGATGGAAGAATAGTTGATGAAGAGAAATTTAGAAATACTCTATCCGTTTTAAAATGATTGTCGTTTAAAGTTTTTACACACCAATTAAGGAATGCAATGATGTTGTCATAAAGTATGTTACCGTCGGGAGGCGATTTCCGTCGCAGCCGTATTGTAGTTTCTGGCGGGGACCTCATCAGAGGAGGAAGATATAACGTATGAGGAGTGAGAGAGCGATGAGGGTTAATGTTTTGTTTTTTTGTTAATTTGTGTTAGTTTAGGGATTTAAGTGGTTGATTACTAGCTGATCACCACCCTTAAGCCTATTTGCATCTTACAATACCAACGCCCCACCGTCTTTATCATGTACCTACATGTTCCCAGCTTTCTAATCTTCTTTAGAGCATCATCAAATTTTAAAGTGTGCGTGTCCATGATACACATTCACTGGTTGACAGCACTGGATCGCGTGAGTACTTGGACCGCCCTTTATTTGGGCCTTCTGAATTTCTTTTTACACCCCGAATTCTGCAATACAAGTCCATCTCTAATTCTTTCTCTCTTTAAATTTCTTTATTTCTTTTATTTCTATTGCTTTATGAAGATATAAATAATGTATTAAATAACTATTCTATTTAAATTGATTTTTATTATTGTTGACAATTAGTTTATTAATAAATTAATTTCGATAAAAATCAAAGGATTTTTAATTTAAAATAGTTATTTAACGATTTGGAATTGTATTGTTTGAATTAAATTATTTGCTTTCTTATGATTGTCCACCAAACGCACACCCAAACACATTTAATAAATTCGAATTCGATTCTTTTACCTTGGTCCATATACCAAGTATTCATCAAGGGTCACATAGTTGAGTTTGGGCATGGTCATTCTCACGAGATTTAATCAAGCTTAGTCCCTGGTTAAATCATAACCCGAATCAATCACTTCGGTCCATATACCAAGTGTTTCCATGCACAAAGGATCTCAGGATTGATGGCAGAAGCACCTACCCTCACGAGATTAATCAAGTGCACCCCTTGGTTAATCATAACCCGATTCAATTCCCATACACCAAACATTTCATTTGCGCCTTTCATGATACTACTCATTTTATCGTCACTTTTGCCATGATCACCATGCATAATCACTCTTCACAAACATTGTCTCCTTTTACTTTATGCTTATAACATGCTCCTTAGGAGGATAGTTTCATCTTCTTTAAGATGTGAACTAATTAGACATTAGGTCCTTATCCATGCATGCTAACTTAGATAAAAGTTTCTCTTTCAAAACCTAACCTTAAGGCCATATTTATACAATAACACTAGGGCTAGAACTAGGTTAGTCTCCCTTATAGGGATGGAAACGGGTCGGGTCGGGTGCTGTAACACGCCGTTTATATTTAAATGTTATTTCATTAATTATTTTCCAAAACTATTAAATTATATCTATTTTGAGAAATATATTCAATTGATATCGATTAAAATATTAATTGGGTAATATGAAATAAAAATATTTATTATGTCGAAATATTATTTTGAATGATATTAATTTGGTGTGTAGTAATATTTGACTTTGTTTGATTAATTGGCATGATTAGGTTTATATAGAATAAATATTATTTAGTGTAATATTGTTTTAATAGAGTTATATATTATAATTTGAATTAAATAATTGTTGGGGCCAAATTATAATTTTAGAAAGATAGAGGGAGGAAAGTTAGTAGTAGAAGGATAGTTTTATAAAATAGAAAAGTAGAGTTAGTAAGAGTAGTTGGTAAGAAGAGAAAGAAGAAAGAAAAGAGAGAAGAAAGAGAGAAGAAGAAGAGAAGAGAAGGAGAAGGCTAGGGTTTGTTCTACAAAATCATCATCTTGTTCCAAGAAAATCAACACTAGAGGTAAGGGTTTGACTTCCACCAATTATTTAGTGTGTGATTTTATAGTTTTGATTTTGGAATAAATTAGGGGTTTAGGGTATTAGTTTCACTACTATGTTTCGATGGAAAAAATTTGGTAAATTGATGATATTGAGAGATGATTTAGGACCCAATATAACTAGATATACACATAAATAAGTCCCTTAGTATTTTCTGTGCAAAAATTTCATAGCTGCTACTGTTGCGTGAGATGAAGGGCAATTGGAGCCACTTGTTTAGCATACTGAGCGCTAGATGAATTGGTTTTCCAGAAGAAATATACTTGCGTTACTGTACCGCATGGAATGGAGTGGCACTTGACTTGTAACACAGTAGAGTAGCGTATGAATGGGATTATTTTTTTAATGGCCTTGTTCTGTTTCATTAATATGTGTATATACATTATGTAGCTTGTTTCGTTAACATGCGGCACACCTAGCTATTAAGGGAGGATAATAAATTGACGGTACTGTATCAGCCTGTGATATGAACTTAATAAAAACCATGTCTTGTTACTGTATAGCCTATGTTAATGATATATAATACTATTTCTTTAGTATATAATAATAATAATAATAATAATAATAATAATAATAATAATAATAATAATAATAATAATAATAATAATAATAATAATAATAATAATAATAATGATTTAATATCTTTAATAACTAATTTTGTAGGATTTATAAAGTAGAAATAATATAATTTTTGGCCGATAATTAATTAACCGATTTTAGCCGAAATAGTCTGAATTATTATGCGGTTTATGATAGTAATTTTGGTTGATCTGTTGGGTGGCATTTTATTGAAAAATGTGAATTTTGCAGGTGAAGTCGAATTAAGTTGAATGCTTCCGGTTTATGAAATTGTGTTTGATTTGAATAAATCATGGAAGTAACATTGTTTAAACTTGTACATTACTTGATTTGTGAATTATATTTGCAATGCATGTACAATTGTTGGTATTTCATTGTGTTGGAATATGTGGTATGTGTATGTTAAGGTCGGAAGTGGTCTTAATTGCATACGAGTTGTTGGTTGTACATTGCATGGCATGGTTGGTCTTGAAATAGAGACGGTGAAATAGTGGGTTCATATTTTATAGACGTTGATCCTTGAATGGAAATAGACGTAGTGGCTTTGACCCGGAAAGGGAACATACGCGGTGAAACATGAGTTCACATAAAGATAGACGTTGATCCTATGATGGAAATAGACGTAGTGGCTTTGATCCTATGTGGAAATATAGGCGGTGGAACTTCGGGTCCACGAGTCGGTACCGCATTCGCATATGTGGAGTCGTGTTGTGAGTCACATGCATAATTGTGTATATTGTGTATGTGTGTTGATGTGTTTGGTTATGTGCCAATATTGTTGTTGTTTGAATAATGGTTATGTGCCAATGATGTGAGTATTCGGATAATTGGTTTATATGGTTAATGTGTTGGAAATGACTTCCTTGAGTACGTATACTATATGTGATAAAATGAATATGATCATGATGTATTGCTTTATTTATTGCCATTGATTTACCTTAATTACATGTTATATGATTATTGGAATTCTTACCCTTCTGTTATATTTCGTGTCGAACTCGTCTATTTTGTATTCGGATTATGATGTATATAATCCTTACTTTGTGTATATTATTTTGTGTATGTGAGACTTGATAACATATGCTTTATGTGAATTATCATGGCTTGATGCCTTGAATTATGTTTTGATTCCTCCATGAATGGAGATGAAGTTAAATATTGAAACTCCGTTGCGTTTGCACGAGAGAAAGAAGTTAAATATTTATGTATGTTTGTTTTGTGTTGATATGCTTAAATTTACAAACGTACCCTGTCCGTTTTTCTTTAAAATTTTGGAATGTGATGTGTGTTGTGACATCCCTTCCGTGCAAATTTATTTTCTCTGATTTTAATTCTTGCCTTTTATTTGGGGTAATTAGAGGGGGTGTTACAATAGTGGTATCAGAGCATAGTCGGTCAGTTGTCAGGTCTTATTTTTGTTAATCCCTTGTATTTGATTGTGTGGCTAACGCGATCAATACTTTGTGTTGTAGAGAGATGGCTGGTAGAAGGAATGATGATGCTTTAGTTGAGGCATTGATGTTGCTTGCGGGGTCAATAAATCAGATGCCGCAAACGACTCAAGCGCCACATGATGGTACTGAAGATGCTTTCCGTGCTCTTGGGAAGTTCCAAAAGAACAACCCGCCTACTTTCAAGGGAGAGCATGCTCCGGTGGAAGCTCAAGAATGGTTAAAAGCAACTGAGAAAATCTTTCGTGTGATGAATTGCACCGACGCTCAGAAAGTGCAATTCGGAACACACATGC